TAAAAATTTGATCATAGTAAATTGATCAACATAGCTAACATAGTTTTGATTACTTAATTGATGTCACACCCTAATAAGCCTGATGCATGATGTAAGTCATGCTAAGGTTATTATCATGAGAATCTTCACATGTGAAAGCCAAGGGCGTAATGACAGCTTTCAGTTACTGTTTAAGGCTAGTGTGAAAATTAAGGATTAAATACATTGAGTATATAAGTTAAGGGGGCTGAATTGTAAACGATAGTGCTTTTTTATTTCGCTGCCTGACATTAGTTTGGCTCTTTCATAGTGTCTCATCTAGCAAGTTGTGATATAGTTATGACATTAATGATATTATTGAAAATGTAAATTAAAAAAAAAAAAAAAAAACAAATAAGAAGAGTTTAATACACATAATTATTAACGAATTTATATATAAACGAATAAAAAAAAATAAAATAAAATAAAATAAAACTTAACAAAACAACTTAATAGTTCTGGGAATGTCAGAATCGAATTTATCAAAAAGTGATTTAGAGAAAATTTGTTGTAGCCTAGGTTTGCCTTCGGAAGGGTTAAAGCAGACTTGATACACAGGCTAAGGTCTCATTTAAATACATTAAAAAAAAATTCAAATATATCTGTTAGAGATGAAGCTTGTGCAGAAGATATAAATTTGATCATTTGGCCGAAATGGGAACAGCAGGTGAAAACCCTGAAATTGATACATTAAGAGAACGTGTGCAGCAAACAAGAAAAATTATTCTAGGAGAACCATTGTTAAATACTTTTTAGGATTCGGTAGATCAACAAGAACCAACAGATCCTATACTAATATAAGGAATAAGTGATCAGTCATCTAAGAACACTGTAAAGCAAAACAAGAAGCGACTACAAGAGGACATTAATGATAATCAGAGTGATTCTCTTGAGAAGCTATTGGTTTCAGAATTTAAAAATTTGAGAGGTATGATAGCAGATTTTGACTTTAAGTTGAATTCTGTGGCAGCCCAAGTGAATAAGGTGGAAATAAATGAGTCTTGGCCAAGTCATAAATTTGATAAGAAGCGAGATCAACATAAATATGATGCATTGTGTGAAATTGGGAAGGAGTTGGATTTAGCGTTAGATTTGCAAGATACAATGAACATTTTAAATCACGTGACTAGTGCATGAAAGTTTGTGGCAGATAGATTGGTTACTTTACAGGTAGCAGAGGGTTTTGGTTGGGATTTGGCGGCAGCTTTGCCGAATACACAAAATAAATTGTTGAAGAGTAAAGAATCATTAATAGAAAAGGCCAAAGCATTAGCAGAGGCATGTAAAAATAAGAAAAGGAGAACTTTTAGTTCAGAAGAAAGAACTTCACAGTCTTACTGGAGGGGCAATCAATGCAGTCAGGATTAAAATATGTTGGCCTCAAAATATCAAACAAGCTCGGGGCAGTTTTTTCGGTTAGGGTTCAACAATCGTAATTGGGGATTTAGTACAAGGAACAGGTGTTACACTTGTGGTTACGCAAGACATTATGCAAACGCATGTCCATCCGACCCTGGTCAAAGCTCAGGTCAAGAAAGAGAGTTTGGATTTAAGTCAAGAGGTTATACAACATATAGAAATAGGTTTGCAGGACCAAGTAAAAAAAATAAACATGATTGACTACACTTGGGCACAACAGTTGATACTAGTTGTGGGGCGGATACACTGGGAAGAACATGTAAATTATTGGAAGCAAAAGATACAGGCTTCGAAATTGGTTTTAAGTTGGCTAAAAAATTGCATACCATTGTATCCGAAAGGGTTACTGGAGTTAATGGAACAATCAGATCCACCTTAATATGTATTAACTCGGGACCAGGAATTATGAATAGGGGCGGAGATAAAAAGGTTGTTAGAAACAAGAGCGATAGTGTTAGTTGCAGACTCTCAAAACTGCCCATTGCATTTACTCGAAATAAGCCCAACATTTTTGATTCCAAAACCTGGGCCAAAGAAATGGCGCCTGATTATAGACTTGAGATGCTTAAACAAAACACTTTCAGAAAAGTCTTTCAGGTTCGAAGGGTTCAAAACATTCTTAAGGATGACGAGAAAAAATTAGTGGGTAATTGTGTTGGATTTAAAGGAGGGTTATCATTATGTGCTGATAGACCAGAAAGCACAAAGGTTATTGGTGTTCAGAATAGGGACAAAATGGTACCATTATCGGGTGTTGCCTTTTGGCCTGAGTCTGGCTGTATAGACCTTCGCAAAAATAATGAGGCCATTAATAGGATATTGGAGGTCGTTGGGAATTTTTTGCGGCAACCATCTCGACAACATTTGGGTGGCACATCCATGCAAAAAGACACTAGTTTATTCAAGAGATCCAGTGATTTTTCAAGACTTAAAGAATTGCGGGTTTGTTCTGTCTTAAAAAGGGTGCCCAGAACCCACACAGGAACCAAAGTATTATGGCCTAATATTAAATACAAGAACTGGTCATGTGATCACACCAGAATCAAAAATAAGCAAAACGTTAAAAAGCCTGCAAGACCTTCTCTCTTTGAATCTCTTGACAGCTCGATGTTTGTCAGCAGTAGCTGGGCAAATAATAAGTTTAAGCCAAACTTTCATGTATGCAAAAACTCATTGCTTAGAGTTTTACTCGATAATAAATGCAGAAAATCAGAGAAAATGGGAGTAGGACAATCGAGTGAAATTGATGGAACAGGCAATAATGAATATAAAATGGTTACAGGAAAACTTAATGAAGAAAAATGGTTGTCAGGCCAGGAAACACTCCCAGATAGTTTCAGTATATGTCGATGCATCAACCACAGGGTGGTCAGCAACCCTGGAAGGGAAAAAAGTCTTCAGAAACTGGAATTTTCATCACAAGCACGTAGACATTGCTCTTCTCGAGGCAACAGCGGCATTGCTAGGCCTGGAGGCATTTGTCAACTTGATCACGCATCGTTGGGTTATTGTACATATAGACAATCGAGTTGCATGAAAGTTAATAGAAGCGCAGGGGAAAGACCATGGCAAAAGGATATAATGCATCAAGTGTGGAATTTTTGCAATAAGAACGATTTGCAGATTCACGAGTTTTGTTGAGTACCTTCGCAATTGAATCTTGCAGACAAATTAACTTGCTTCTTCAACGAGTCAGATTGGGAATTGGCTCAAAACATATTTATCGAAATAGACAAAAGATGGGGTCCATTCACAATAAATTAGATAGCAAGCTATCGAACAAGGAAAGTAGGGCGTTTCAATAGTCGCTATTATTGTCCGGAGGCGGAAGCGATAGATTGTTTCACAGTAAATTGGAAGTGGGAGAACAATTATATTTGCCCCCATTAAGTCTAATCCAAAGAATCTTCGAACATGAAATTCAGTATCAAGCACAAGTGGTATTGATTATACCAGTATGGACCTCAGCAACATGGTGGCTAGTTCTTTTGCAAAAGCGGGTTGAGGTGTTAGATCTTCCATCGGCAAGGAGTTGTTTCTTACCAAACCTGAGAAGCAACTTAATATCAGAGCCTTGGAAAAACCAGCAATGGAGATTTCAGGCAGTAAAAATTTGTTTTTGAAAACTCTGCTTGAAAAGGCTTATGATGCTATAGAACCCAGATCGGTGTATGGTAAACAACTTATAGCGCTATGGAATGAATTCGTTGCCTTCTGTAACTGCCACAAGTTAAATCTGTGCCCAGCCCACTCTGAGACAGTTATGATGTTTCTTACTTGGTTAAATCTATTAGCAAAAGTACCGAAACTTCGTTGGTATATAATGGCAATAGGTTATCATCATCGTAAATTGGAAGTTCTGGACTCGACTCAGAAATTTAATGTGCAACGTCTTGTCAGAAATCTATTGAAATGCGCAGCTGAGGATAAGGAAGCAGTATGGCCACGTGACCTATTTTCTGTTGAAGCTCTACAAAACTATATTAATAACCCACCTTTAAGAACTAGAAAGCGAATTTGGAAAAGAGATTGTGCATTAGTAGCTCTTGGGCTCCTAAAAATGAGAAGACCAGCGGAGCTCTGTAATCTTTGTATAGCAGATATAAAAATGGAAAATGGGTTTCTGTGGGTCAGAATAAATAAATCGAAAATAGATCAATTTGCTAAAGGGAAATTCATACCAGTTGACCCTACAAATTCAGCATATTGTCCTGTTAAATTGATTCATCAATACTTAGAGACAAGAGGAAAGGTAAAAGGGCAGGAATTATTATTTGTAAATATATTAGGGAAACGTATGTCAATGGGTGCAATAAATGCAATAGTTAAAAGAGTAATGGCTCATGCAAATTTAAAAGGGAAATACTCAGATCATAGTCTGCGTATTGGTGATGCGACTGGTGCAATGAAGGCAGGGTTAACGCTACTACAAATTATGAGTATAGAAGGTTGGGTGTCAAACTCAGTAGAGCTTTACCTCCGATCTTTTTCTACAGCATTACAAAGCATATCGACAAAAATGGGATTTTAAAAAAAAAAAAAAAAAAAAAAAAAAGAAAAAGAAGAAACTAGGGTATCTTCGCTATTTTCTTTCAGCGATTCTCTTTTTGCTCCCATAGTGTTTTTTCAATAAACAGATCTGAGTAAGAATAATAAGCCTGACGCATGACATAAGTCATGCTAAGGTTATTATCGCAAGGATTTTCACATGTGAAAGCCAAGGGCGTAATGACAGCTTTCAGTTACTGTTTAAGGCTAGGTGTGAAAATTAAGGATTAAATGCATTGAGTATATAAGTTAAGGGGGCTGAATTGTAATCGATATTGCTTTTTTCTTTCGCTGCCTGACATTAGTCTGGCTCTTTCGTAGTGTCCCTCCCAGGCCCCCCGGAAAAAAAAAAAAAAAAAATTTTTGGGTTAGAAATATAAAGAAAGGAGTGAGTAGCTCTGGGGCATGCTTACCAACATGTGAAGGAAATGCTTGGTGACTAGCTCCCTGACGCTCACTAAGTAATAATAATAGTAATGTTGTAGCATATCTTGTTTATATACGATTCTCTTCTTTTTCGCCACGTGATTGCCATGTGATTGTAAATAGTTAGACAAAGTATTATGTTTAATAGCCCTATAAAGGTAGGTTTAGGACATGTAAAGTGTGGGACATGTAAAGACAAAGCCACAGCACGGCACTACTCTCATAGTGTTTTTTCAATAAACAGATCCAAGCAAGAATAATAACCTATGTTAACAGATTTTTTATAGTATTCGAATACCTTATTATAATCTTGATAATCTTGATCATCCCTATCCGTTTTCAAAACACCTGCCAAGATCATTCATCGAAAACAATTCATTATGTAAAGATATCCTACTATAGACTGACTGACTAGTATTAATTAATGTGATACATTTATTCGGTGTTTTGTGGTTCCCCATAAAAAAAAACTATATCATTGCAGATAGGTATTTAAGCTTACTGAAATATTGATAAAGACCGGATGTTACAAAAAGTTACAACATAATTCTGCTATAAGTAGTGGATAGTAATTGTAAAAGTGATGCTTCGTGAATATAGCAATTACAGAAGGCTATTAAAAATTTTAAATATCGATTTTAATACTCTGAACTTTATTAAATATTATGTTTAGTATTTATATATATTGTCAGAGAATTTCATAATGTCAAACATAGAACT